CCATGAGTTCAAGGCCACTCTGGCCCCACGTAGTGAGTTCAAAGCCAGCCTGAACTATGTAGTGAGACCCTGTCTCAAAAAAACAAAAAAAAGAAGGAGGAGGAGGAAGAGAAAGAGAAGGAGGAGAAGGAGAAGGAAAAAGGAGAAGGAGGAGGAGAAGGAGAAGAAGAAGAACAGCAAGTGAGAAGGCCTGTTACATAAACTCTGTGTTTCACAATTTTTTTCCTGGAAAAATCTGCCTACAGGCAAGATTTGATCCTTGTCTATTTTTACAGCTTCTTTGTTATGAATGGGAGACGCATGGGCAAGGAAAGAGAGGGCGAGGGAACGAAGCCAAGCAGCAAGGTCCCAGGGAGCTGTTCCCGAAGTGATTGGCCGCCCTTCTCTGTGCCCACGCGTGGGGGGCAGCTTGCAGCCACCTCTCGGGGACCCCAGCTTCCAAGAGGTCCTTTAACCAGCTGGTGCAGGACCCTTGCCCATCAACCAGATAAATCCCTGCGGGGATGAGGAGGAGAAAGAAGGAGGAGAAGGGGATGGGGAGAGGGAGGAATGGAAGGAAGGAGGGAAGGAAATGATTTCAGAGTCGGAAAACACTTTCGCAGTTGGAGAAGGGATGGCAAAAATATTCTCTCTCAATGAAAGAAACACAGATGTGTATCAAGATACATTGGTGTGGCCACTGATTACGGAAGATTTATGGAAGTTTTTTCGAAATGGGGTTGGGACCATGGGATAGGCGTCAGCAAGCTTTCTGGAAAACTTTGGGCATTGTGCAGCGAAGTTAAAAACCAACCATTTTTGGATTTCAGGTCTGGAAAATTCTTTATACACAAGGCCCTGGAAAAATTCAGGACACAGAAATTTTCATTGTATTAACACTACTTAATGCAACTAGAAGTGGAAAAAACACTAAACATTTAACAATAGGAATAGTTTAATATATGATAATAAGTCTGTGAGAGGAATATTATACAACCATAAAGATGATAGTCACAAAGGATTCATAACAGTTGTTTGATTATGTGGTTTGGAAAAAAGTAGAAATATGAAGGAATAAAAATAGAAAAATATAGAAAATATTATCTAAACAAATGCTCAGGTAGAAGAGACTAGACAGAAGTACAGTGAAATGGAAGTAGGCTTTCCTCTCTGATCGGTCTGGCTGCTTTGCCCACATTTCCTCAAGTACTTCCAGAGCTGTCTTTCTGCAAAGCCCACAGACCTCACGTCCCACCCTGTTACTTACCAACACATTTTTCAAGACAAGAGTTTAAGTCCGATTCTGGTATTGCTCTTGACTTGACTACCACTTTGACAGAATTACTGGCCATGTCACTTTATTGGTTTCTTCTTTTGCTCCAAACCTCAATCCATTTGACCTTCATCGAAATGCCCCCCAATTTATCATAGGTGGCTTCTGCAGCTAAAATAGAGTCACATCCTTCTGCTGAGTCCATCAAGAGAGGGCGCTGGTCTTAAGGAAAATGAAACATTGTGGAATTTTCAACCTTTCAACCTTGAACCTTATTTGGAAAATGATCTGTATGGTTCTATTTATTTTAGGAAAGGGCAAGAAAGTCTGATCTCCAACAGTGCAGGATTTGTGTCCTGTAGCATTTAATGACTGCTTCAATTGTGAAAACAAAGTCAAAGGATGCTCTCTGAAGCTATCTATACTTTCTGTTATCACTTCCCAGCCTCAGTACCCTTACTGTAAACAATGGCAGATGTCCATAATCGTAATTGTGGGGTGCATTTGCATTCATCCTGTCAGAGGACAGCTGTCCTAAACATCCCATTGCCATTGTAGGATGGTTACACCCTACCCACTTCCACAGGAGCATCCAGGCCACCTGTACTTTATTGGATGGCATAGAACTCAAATGACACAATTTGACATAACAGGGAAATTTCTTTTACAATGAAAAATTTTAAAGTTACAGGAGGAAATTTTTAGACATTGGCTCTGAGACCTCTTCCTGGGCATTCCTAGTATATGTCTTTCCTAGAACTTGCCTGGAAAGTACCACAAACTGAGTGGCTTGAAACCTAAGGAATGTATCACTTCACGGCTTCAGAAGCTGCAGTAGGAAATCGAGACCCCAGCGCTGCCGTGCTCCCTCTGAGCCCTGGAGGGGAGAATCCTCTGCTGTCTCTTCTGAGCTGTTGTAACAGGACCTCTCACTCCCACTCAGCCGTAATCTTCAGTTTCTTAGTTGCCCGGATAATAGTTTTGGACCCAGTTCCTATTGCTTCTGTCTCCTAGAAGTGGCGGGTCACTGTGATGCCCAGGTGGTCACTGTGATGCATACCGCATAAACCAATCCCTAACTGACAAGCCATTCTGCCTCTGCACTTCCCTCTTGCTCACCCCATATAAGCCCTAGAGCACCTGAAATCAGGACCTGGTCTTCTGGGAGTGACCCCAGTCAGTGCCTGCTGACACAAACAGCTCTGCCTCCAAAACCCAGGTTTCGTTTCAGGGTTTCTGCTTACCCTACACTGTGGGGGGCTTGCTGATGGCCTCTGACGTACCTCCCTCATGGCTGTGTCCCTCCCATCTGTGCCTTCATAGTTACGTGTGTCTCTGTCCTTCCACAGCCACCCTCCCATCAGGACATTTGGGTTAGGGATCCACTCTACTTCGATATGTCGTCATGTTAACTAATTACATAGCCAACGATCCTGTTTCCAAATCAGGTCACAGACTGAGGTCCTGGAGGTTAGGGCTTCAATTTCTCTTTTTGAATGTATCAATCTATCAATATGTGAAGAGCCTGCAGAGACAGACAGTCCTGGGGCCAAAGAGTATGACACAAGGCTGCAGAGAAGGAAGGGGGAGGGAGGCAGATAGAACCACTTGGCAATTTTGCCCAGAAATCTGGTGGCCCTGAGCCCCCTGCCCATTTGGGTGCAGGGACTGTGGTCACTTGTGCTATCTGGCCAGCTCGGTTGAAGGCGCTTCTGTTCTCCACCTGGGTGCAGGCTACAAAGTGAAGTCCGTGGTCATGTTCAGGACACACTCTGCTGATACCATATGTTAGCAAATGTCTGAATTTGGTGCAGACACACACGGGCAGTGTTCTCATAAGTGGAGTTACATAATTAGGGCATGGGTTTGCATAATAATTAGCATGTGTAATTAGGCACAGACTTCTTGTCCTTTAATTAGACAATCAAGACATCTAATTACAAAATTAAGATGTAATTACGTGGCCCAAGATCTTCATATTTCTTTCTGCCCATTAGAGATTACATTTAGGAAAGAATTCACAAAAACTGATGATGAAGGGAACATCGACTCCCGATATGAGTCTGTTGGAGGAAGTGTTGAGCGAGCTGCTGAGTTCCCTTTTATCTTTCCCCTTCAGTATAGGGGAGTCATTTAAAATATTATCATCTACTTGAAAGAATAACTCACCAACTGTGCTGTCAACCTCTGGTACACACATTAATGAAGAGGAATGTCGGCATGACTAATCCATGCAATTCGCACATGGCTCTGGAGTGTGGTTTGTAATTACCCTTGAACATGTACTTAAATGTGACATCTCGGGAATTCATTCAAACCGAATAAAGCCCCCAGATGGAGGCAATCTTAGGCGAGCTGGGGGGACCACTTGCTTCCCCATTCTGCCCTGTTTAGTGCTCCTCTGTAGCCACTTTAGAAATAGATCCATTGCTCAGAACAGTGCAAGCATAATTTAAGGTGGGTCATCTTTTCCCCAAATATCTGAACACACTGAAATGTTCTCTCTTTAAGTGCTCCCCATTGGATTGCAGAGGAGAAAGAGAAGGGTCTAAGAATACAGTAAACATCCCATCTTTCTATTAAGTTAGTGATGCTTACAGCACTGTGCTGTTGTTGTTACATTGTTGTTGTTTTGAGTTCTGGTGCTCCGGGAAGCCGGACTGTAGTACTAGTGTCTGTTTTTCCTTGCCCCTAAATTGCGACTTGGCTGATCTTTGCGTGATGCTCAACACCCAATTTGACGCATTAGTTTTTCTGACCTAATTGAACCAGGATCCCAGCCATTTGTCCAGGTCTTCCTAAGACGCTTCTGAGTCTACCTCTCCATTCCCATAAACCACTGCAAATTCTAGGAATGCAACGTTTTGACAGCCCCACTGTGCTTCTCAGATGCCGCTTTCTCCTGGAAAGAGGTACAGAAATCTGTCCGTCCATGCTTCCTGATTTTGGTTTAGAAAATATGCTTCCCAGATATTTGCAGACTGGGAAAACAAAGACAAAATGAAGTTTTAAAGGTTCGGTGTTAGGGTCTCTTCTCCACGGTTTGCCTCTGTTTCCATTTTTTACTTTTTTCTCTTCAGTCATGAAATGTGATGAGGGAAAAAATAACGTATGCCAAGGGAACCAATTATTATTATTATTTTTTTTTGAGGTACCTGGAATTGAACTCAGGACCTTGCACTTGCCAGGCCAGCACTGGACTCTGGCCTGGGGGACCAGTGTTGACCAAGAAAATAAATATGAAAAAAAAAAGGGAGGGAACCTGAGGTTTTAGCTCAGTAGTGCAAGCACCTGCCTGATAAGCATAAGATCGTGAGTTCAATCCCTGGCACTGGGAGAAAAAAGAAAAGAAACATGCATGGGAAATTAGCTTACACCATAATGAGGGTCTTTGTTGTTGTTGTTTTGTTTTGTTTTGTCTCTGACTGAGCAATTGCTCACAATAGATTTAGAGGCAAAGGAGCCAAACTCGGGTGAAGTGGGTTCATCAGGAGGACGCAGCTGTGGGCAGTGGACCTCTGCATCCCAAGGCGGTGCGCACCTCTCGTGTTCTCCATCCTCCATCTATGATCCGTCACTCGATCAGGAGGGATTTTCAGCTCCCGTTCTGTTCGTTCACTGCCAGGCCCTGGCCCCTTGGGTCCTGGAAGTTTGTTCTTCTGGTTATACTTCCAGTGCTTCTGCATAGGGCCAAAAGCAGGAAAGCAAGCTTCAATTTCCTGTTTTGAAAACGTGCCTCTCTCTGCAGGTACTCCACATCGGTATTCTCAACACTGGAAAAGCTGGGCATCAGACATCCTAAGCCTTCTCCTTTCATTGGAAACTTGACCTTCTTCCGCCAGGTGAGGCCCTGACGCGCTGGCTACGGTGCAGGCTTCCCGTGAAGCATTGCTCTTGCCTGGGTTGCTGGCCCGGGCCATGTGTGGAGGTGCTGAGCTCTCCCTTCTTGGAATGAGCTTTTCTGTGACAACAGTGGTTCATCCCTATCCCCGCCAGTATGTATTTGGTCCTGTCATTCATTCATTCATTTTCTGCTGAGCATCAAGGGCTCCAGGCCCTAGAATGCAGAAAGAATAGAGATAACTTCTACCCTCAAACATGGATGTGTAACAGCAGATAGGTTGTTCCCAGTGCTGGATTAGTTATTACAGACATGAGTAAGGGGATCTTGCTTCAGAGGAGAGGGAACTTTGTGGCATAAATAACCCTAGGGAAGCTCCCAAAAAGGGTCTCACAGGAGCTGTAGACAAGGAACACAGGCCAGGTGGGGAGCCACATGTGTGAGTGCGGCCACATTTAAGCAACCACACAGGTCAACCAGAAGCTCAGATCAATGAGAAACCAAAAGTTGGGAACACTGGGGAATGTGAGGTGACAAAGAGTGATGGGGCGGCTAATGTAATTTTTTAATAGGAGAGGTACATCAAAAAGGAATATTGCTAGGGACCATGGAATCTAACTGTGCTCAGTCTAGGCTGAAGTGTGACAATGACAGCCAGGAGCAAAGAATACTTAGAGCAAAACTATGAGATCTGGTAACTGACAAGGTGTGAGCATTTGTGACAAAATGAAGCAACCATTGAACAAAAAAAGAATGAACACTGGGTGACAGAAATAAAAGGTGGGGAGGGTGGCTCGTTGAGGGAGAAACGTGTCTGATTTGGGGGCTGTTGGCTTGGATTTGCCAGAGTGATGTGCAAGTGGAGGTGGCCAGTAGCCATCTGCAGAGCACCCCGGGTCTTTGAGGTTATTTTATTTTATTTTTACGGTGGGTTTTCTCAGAAACTTGATGGTTTAGTCTGTTAATTTAGGGGGAGGCTGTCACCAGACCGACATCAGGAGACAGCAGATCCCACAAGTGGAGAGCCACAGAAAGGAGGAAGGACTGAATTTGAGCTCACCCAGATAAACCCCTTCACAGCTCCTCAGGGTTCCCAGTCTCTGCCCTCAGGAGGGCTGGTCCTCGGCTCTAGACAAAAATAACCTCAGCTATTTCTTTACTTGTTCCTCCCCCTTCTCAGTTCCTCTTCTATCGTTTCTGTCTCTCTGTCCACCACCCTTCCTCACTATCTGCTGTTTTTCCCTTTGTAGTACTGTTTAAACACGCTCCTCCGTTTCTCTTGAGGGTGACCAGTTAGTAATTTTGAAACCCGGATCCCATAGACAACCTCCCCATTGTGACACCCTGTGGATCCTGGAAGCAAACTTGAAGAATTTAAAAGTGTCAAAATGGAGCAACAAATCCGATAGGAAAGTTAAAGAAAGCCAACTTCACACAGTACTGCAGAAGGCAGGGGATGGTCAGCTGCATTTGGTTGAGTAATTCATCTGAGGTAAATGTCCAAGGCAAACAGCACAGCTATCATGTGGAGAACACAGCCCATGCTTCTGGATAATTTCCACATATGTTCCCTTCCAGCTTCTCACTCTGTAGATACAAATCCTGCCAAGTTCTTCCCAGGGCACAGCATTTCAGGGACTATTTTGATGTTCATATAAGCTTTCCTTGATATATAGGAGACACAGACTGGAAAATCTAGGGATCTAAAGAGAACGGGAATATTTCTACCCGGGACATCTATTCTGCCCTTCTATGTATCTGGCATTTCACTCTATTCACACAACACAGAGTTTTCCACCCCTACACCCATCCCAACTCACGCAAATGTTTAGTCACTGCAGTCCCACCCCACCTAACCACGGGTCCCTGTGCAGTCACCTCTTGGGTCCCTCCCACCTCCTTTCCACAGGCCTGTCCCTGCAGACTGTGGTCCAGCATTTCTAACCCTCTGTGTGGTCTCACCCCATGTGCCTCTTGAGGTATACTCCACCTCATGATTTTCCTATATAAAATTACTCTAGAGTTCTTATGTTCCAGATATGTTGGTTTTATCTGAAATTCAACCTAGATCATAAGAATTCAGAATTTGTGATCAGTTGGATAGATGCGGCAGAATTTTACACATGTGGGCATCACAGAAGGAAACCTGGTTAAGTAAAAATAATAGCGTGAATGAAATCTCAGAAGGTACATAGTTGAGAAAGCAAACAGTTTTCAAATATTTTAGCAGCAATTATATCCAAGTAGTCTAAGTCCTGATGATCTCTTCAGTCCATTAAAGCAGGGCTGCATGAGAGTTTTATTTGGCAATACGTCTTAAAAAGCCCTTTGTTTATCCCCGATTCCACAGTGCTTGCAAGCTGTATAACTTCAGTTCTTTTTTATTATTTGTCTAATGGTATTCTTGTTGTCTCAGGTTTTTTGCTGAATAAGTGTGAATAAATGAAATTCTACTTAATCTCAGTCTTACTGTGGTGCTGTTTTGTTTTTCAGGGTTTTTGGGATGGCCAGCTGGAACTCAGAAAATTGTATGGCCCTCTATGTGGGTAAGAAGGACGTTTCATTTTCCTCTCTATGTTTTGACTTCGGCATGTTGAATGGATATAGAGGCAAAGAACGGAGATGTGGTTTGCATTTATATGAGGGGTCACAAAAAGAGTCCCTGCAGGGTAGACAAGCTTTCTAGACAAGACCTGTGGACTTGCTCATAGGCACCATGTTGCCGTGAAAGCTACTTCCCGGGATTTGAAACCCTACCGAGCTGGGAATCTTAACTTCTCACACCACTATGCTGAAGGATGTGCTGTCAAGGACGCAGTGGCCTTTCCCACTCCAGAGTCAACCGTCCTAAATGCCTGGATAACCGGGGCAAGTCTTGATCCCCATGACCTTATCTGAATCGTAGGCCCATATGGTTCAACCTCAATGGGTAAAGTCTGCTGCCAGTAAGCATGTAATTTATCACCCAAATCAGCAGCCTCTGAGAGTGGAAGGAAATGGTCTTAATAATTACCCAGGACAACCGCATAAACCAAGATTATCTTGGATACACTGAGTCCTGTGGTCATCCTTGTTCTCAGCCATATAAAGTAACATAGCCCCTCCCTTTGTCTTCCCTGCATTTTCTCTTCTTATCCTTTACCATATGTGCCTATTTCTAAAAACCCACAATCCAGTAAACAAACCCAAGTTCAGATCACTTTCTCTATTCAAGAGTTAGTTAACAGGCTTGAATCATAATCTCATTTCCCAATGTATGTCCCTCTCCACACCGGAGTCCTTGTCATTTTAGTCTGCTTCTGCCCAGCTGGGTGAGTTTTAGTAGCTTTTTCTAGACTTCTAGGGCTCTGATAACATATCTGGCTGCATTAAGGTTTTGTTGTGTGGCAAACGCATATCCTGATGGGGCCAACTGGTTTGTAAGCCTTTTGGTCCACAGGATTTGGGACATCTGTTCTCTTAGTGCTTATTTTTGGAAGGATTGGCTGGTACTCTTTATGGAAATGGCCCCACCCAGGAGACCCACAGTTTTGGTCAAGCGTTTCTACCTACTCTTAAGTTTTTCATTTGATCCTGAAAAGTTAGTAAGTTGAAATGTTGCATTACGTGAACTCTGTATTAGTTTGTCAATTGCTGTATTATTGACTCCCCTCAAACTCAGCGACATTAATAACAATTTGCTGTTGATGGTGTCTAAGGGCTGTCACTGCTTACTGGCTGGTCTAAGCTCCGCTTGGCTGGAAGGAGCCCCAGGACTTCCTGGTGCATCTGCTGCATGGAGATGGGGGTGGTGTGCAGTTCCTCTCAGCCCTGTGGAAGGGCAGGCCCACCAGGGGAGAGTCCTCTCACAGTGAAAGCAAAAACTCAAGAGAGGACACACTGTTGTGTCTTGTACGCTGGTATTCTGTCCGTCAAACCAAGCGACCTGGCTAACCCCAAAACAGAGCAGGAGGCCAAGCCTGGCGCTGATGCAGCAGGGCACATCCTCAGTACCAAGCAGTTCTGCGCATGCTCCGTGACCGTCGTAACTCAGCCTGGACTAGGATCTGTCGTTGTGCAGTTTCTGCCTCAAGCATGATAGGTACTCGATAAAGTGTTAAGGGATTGAGTTGTTTACCTTTCTTCTATGCTTGTGCTGTTTTATTGCTTTTAAAAGGTCTCGTTTGAGCTCTGCCTGTCCATGAGCCTCATTCTGCAGCAGACGACACCAACTTTGGAGATGGCACCTGAGCTTCCGAGAGGTAGCACTGACTCAGAGGGATGCTGTCTCCCTGGATGTAGGACAAGTCCTCCCAGGGTTTGATTCCTAGGGTCACTCCCCTCCAGTCCTTGTGCAGGCTTCCAGAGTAGAACATTTGGGTATCTGAAAACAGTTTTAAGATGTCAGATGTAGAGTTGAGGGGCTGGGGACTTAGCTCAGTGGCATAAGCACCTGCCTTGCAGGCAGGCAGTCCTGAGTTCGATCCTTGGTACCAATTAAAAAAAAAAAGATATCAGATGAAGAGTTGAGAGGTCATTGTCTAACAAGTGTTATGGGGGCGGGACTTGAGAGTGAACTGGTTTCCTTGACAACAAGATGTCCAATCAGGTTCCACCCCCTAACTTCAACTGAGTTCACATGATTTATCCTTTTCATTTCAAGAAAACTTGAATCCTACAGAATGATTTCATACGAAGTTGTAGGGATTGAAGTATCTCTACTCTTTATTCTCATCTCTGGAGAGAAGGAAAGAAAGAAAGGCAATGGCATAATTTCTTCGTACAAAGCTGACGGCATTTTTTCCTTTAGAAGAACATGAAAAACCATAAGACGTTTGCTGCTTTTTGAACAGGTCTCCTCGCAGATCTCCAGCACTGTGGCAGAGGGGTAAAGTGGTCGTTGGACTATCTCTAAGCTCCTTTCTAATGCTGAATCTTATTTTTGTACTGCTTCAAACTTTAGCAAAATGGCTTCACCATTTGGGAATGTCAAAGAGGACTAGGTGCAATTAGCCACAAGAATCTTTTAGGAAAAAGTTTCAATTACACTATTTTTAGACAACTTTTATTATTAGGAAATAGAATCCCAGCTTGATCCTCTTAAAACCTGAGCTTATAGACTGACTCCTCATGTGACATGTGGAGCCCCACTGCTGGGGCTGTGCAGGGGAACACTGGGCCCCCTAGAGGACAGCAAGAAGAAACCACTGGAGAAGGATTCTGTCAACAGGATTGATAATGCGGACATTTATTACCACCACCATCACCGTCACTACCCCGCCACCCCATCACCCAGAACAGAATGTCTTCACCAAGCATCTAGTCAGGTCGGGGGCTTTGCCAGGCTCTGTGCAGATGCAGCCCCACCATTGCCTCTGTGTCTTTGAACTGGAGTGTAAGGCAGGTAGGCTGGTGTCCGCTCCTACGCAACTTCATCCACGGTGCCTGACTGGGGTGCTTCCGAATTCCACAGCAGTTCCACCAGCCACATGAGAGGAAGAGAGCAAGGCCTTGCTGTTGTGGGTAATGATTACTTGCTGTCAGTCAATTAATGATTACCTGCTGTCAGTCAGTCAATTAGTGATTACCTGGTAGCTCTCTGAGTCTGAGAATAAGCCCCAAGTTGGATTTATATTCCTTCCCCAGCCCTACAAAATTATCATCAACAGAGTCATCATCCATTGGTGCCTAAACAGAAATAGGGTAGAGATTACAGGTCCAACCGATTTGCAAATGACCTTGTAACCTATAGCTAACAAGCCGTTGTTATGTTGCTACTATTAGTAACTTGTAGCTACACACACGGTGCTCTAACTTCCCTTCATTTGTAGCCATCAAAGTCCCTTGCAGCAGGGCTGGGGATTTAGCTCAGCGGCATAAGCGCCTGCCTTGCAAGCAGGCAGTCGTGAGTTTGATCCCTGGTAGCGAAAAAGACCAAAAAAAAAAAAAAAGAATAGTCCTTTGCAGCAACTGAAATCTCCTTTTCCAGGGTCCCGTTCTGATAAGTGGCACCTGCACCTTGGTTTCTCCTGTGCACCCAGCTTCGTCACTAGCCTTGTGCATCCCCATGAGAGCCTTAAGTTGTCAGTAGGTGAACAGGAGCATCGCACACAATTCATAAAATGCAAGTGAGTTTACAGAAAAACATGTAGCTGTGCCTCCCCTGAACTCAGTCACCTCCTCACACATGCAGCCTCTGTGACCGGTTTCTTCAAGCTTATATGGGTTAAATGCGTTTTATCAGAATTTGTTTGCTAATGGTGTTTGGGAGAGTACTCTATTTTAATACATTCATCCTTGTAAAATGCTATCCTATTTCTTAAGGATGTGATGACAAGGCTATATACTGATGTTTTTTTGAGACAAAGTCATGCTATGTAGTTCAGACTGGCCTTGAACTCACTATGTAGCCCAAGCTATAGAAATCCTCCTGCCTCAGCTTCCTGAGTGTTGAGATTACAGGCATATGCTGCCATACTTGGCAGTATATCCTGATTTTTAAAATAAGTTCTCAGCTGACCATTTTTGCTTTTACAAATGAAACTGTAATGAATACTCGGGTGTGCACATCACTGCTTTCTTAAGACACACATCTGTAGGATAAGTTCCAAACATTGGAATTATTGGGCCAATATTATCTATATTTTAAATTTTGTGGGTATTTTTTTTCTTTTTTTGTGTACCAGGAATTGAACTTATGACTTAGTGCTTGCTAGGCAGGCACTTATGTTGCTGAGCTATATCCCTGGCCCATACTTTAAATTTTAATAAATATTACAAATTACTCTTGTTAAGAATTGTGTCAGTTTATATTCTCACAAGTAAGCATACAAGAGAACCCAGATCTTCACATGTTTACTATTAAAATAAGTGGTCACAAGTTTAAATCTTTAGTGTTTGATGGTCTATTGCTGTAGTATTAGTGTACATTTTTCTGATTATGAACACATCTGAACATTTTTTTCATATTTAAAATCTACTGTATTTTGTCTTCTGAGAAATCCTTTGCCACTTTTCTTTTGGGTTATTGATCTTTACCCAATTTATTTGTATTTGTTTATTTATCTGTTTTGTAGTACTGGGACTTGTACTTAGGGTCTTTGCACTAAGCTACATTCCCCAGGACTTTCTTTTCTTTTATTTTATTTGGGTTTTTGTTTTTGAATTTGAGACAGGGTCTTGTTATGTAGTCCAAACTGCCATGAACTCACTATGTAGCCAAGGGTAGTCTCAAACTCATGGTGAGCCTCCCGTCTCTGCCTCCCGAGGGCTGGGATTACAGGTGTGTGCCACTACACCTGGCTTCCCCAGGCCTTTATTTTTTTGAGACAGGGTATCACTAAGTCTCTAAATTGTCCAAACTGAGTTTAAACTTATATGATCCTCCTACCTGAGCCTCCCAGAGTACTGGGATTATATGTATGTGCCATCATGCCCAGTTTTAATTTATTTATAGAAGTTCTTTATACACTAAGGAAAACAAGTCCTTTATGTTTAATATATGTTGAAAATACTTTCTCTTTACTATTTATTTGCCTATCCTATTAGTGTGTAGTTTTTCAACCAG